GATTCCCAGTCATAGCGATTTTAATCCTTGCTTATGTGACAACTACGTCTTCATAGCAAATAAAAGAAAAAATGGAGTGTGCACTTACATATGTACAGAGTGAACATCATTTAACAAGCAAAAGAAAGTACAAGAAAGGCCAGTGTGGTGGTGTGCCCCTGCGCTCCCAGCACTGGGGAGGCTGAGGCAGGAGGATTGCTGTGAGTTTAAGGCTGGTCTAGGCTACACAGTGAGTTCAAGGCCAGCCTGAACTACATAGTGAGACCCTGTTTCAAAAAAAGAAAATATACTGCTTTTTTCAAAAAGGAGAATTGATTGGTAGCCGTTGACGGGAATGCATGAGTGGAAGGCAGCCTGCAGCTTCAGTCTGAAGAGGAACATAATGAAAACAAATAGCAAGGACGAGGACAGCTGTGCTTCGTCCCCTGCCACTAATGCGCACGTTGACCTGATTTCCTCCACACTCCACACTTTCCCATTTTCCTCTGTGCCGAATCTCGAAGCTTATCCCAGTCTCTTACATCTTTCAGAAGGTAATTGCATTTATTTTGTCTTTTTTATGTTCCTGAAAGGAAACAAACAATGACCAAAAGTGAGAGCCATGAACCAGCAATATAATAAACCATGATGATTTGTTTTGTTCTTGGTTTTTTGGAGACAGGGTCTCACTATGTAGCCCAGGCTGGCATCAAACTCATAGTGATCCTCCTGCCTCAGCCTGCCAAGTGCTGGGATTACAGGTTTGCAACACAACACCCAGCAAACCATGATGATTCTGGCAAGAGCTCATCCACAGTGCTTTTCCCCTTGTTGGGTCAGACAAACAGGGCAATCTGCCTCCCACGTATTTTTCTGAGGCCGGGGAAGGCTGGGAAGAGGTGCTGTGACAACCTTCTCCCCCCAAATGAAGGAAAGGAAATAGCCAAATATAGATCCAGCCTAGAATCAATGGCTGTTTGGAGTAGAGTGCATGCCCTGGAAGCCATTCCTCCGTGGCCTCTATTTTGAGGACTTATTAAAATCTTCACACATTAAGAAAAGAAAATTGTCACACTCATCTTTTTCTGTTGAAAAATCAGCTGGTCTCTATTTTAAGTCACAAGTTTGACCTGAAACATGAAGCAATAGCTGAAGACCATGCCAGCCCAGAAGGCAGACACTTTTTATGCTAACACTGTCTGCTAGAAGGCTTGAACATACACCAAACCAGGGTAAAAAGAGAAGTTAGATAAAGGAGGAGAAAACACAGGAGAAAGAAAGAAAGGAAGGGGAATAAAGGGAAGTGGGGGTTAGAACAGAAAATAAAGCAATAAACTGGTGGCTGTTAACAAGGGTGTCCTGGGATGGGCTGGCCAGATAGCTCAGCAGACTACAGCCCCTGCTTAGGCAGGCACAGGGACTGGGGTTGGATTCCCAGAACCACACGCTGTGCCAGCCCCGCCTCCTGGGCACGCTGAGACAGCGATTGAGCCTGCATGTGGTAGCGCCTGCCTGTGATCCCAGTGCTTGGGAGGCTGCAAACAGGAGGATTACTATGAGTCTGATCTGTGTAGTGAGGCCCTGTAGATCTTATACTAAATACATTAAAAAAAAAAAAAAAAAAAAAAGATATCCTGGGTAATATTTCATTTTGATTGTTTGTACTGTGAATTTAAGTTGCTTGCAGGCTGGATTTTTTTTTTTTTTCTTTTTTTCTTTTTCTTTTTGAGATGGGGTCTCAGTTCAGGCTGGCTTTGAATTCACGGCAACCCTTCTGCCTCAGCCTCCCTCCTGAGTGCTGGGGTTACAGATATGCTCACCATGCCCGGCCAGACTGAGTATTTTGTTTATCTTTGTTTTTCTGCCCAGTAGGATGCCTGATAGCTTTGTTCAGAAAACTGTTGGCCTGAATCAGTCTCTGTGAAACTATTATGTACTGAACATTCTAAAATTAATTACTTATTTTCTTTTTGAAACAGCACTTCACTGTGCAGTTCAGGCTGGCCTTGTGCTCACTTTGTAGCCCAGGCTGGTCTCAAACTTGCAGTGATTCTCCTGCCTCAGCCTCCAGTGTGCTGGGACCACAGGAGGGCTCAATCATGCCTGGCAAGTGAAATTTAAACTTCACAGCTATGGTATATCTGTGGCTGGAAAAAATTTTTCTTATCTTTAAAAGGTGTTTTATTTGTATATATGTACAATACATAATAATTGCATTCATCTTTGGGAACTTACAGATAAGTGAATCTTAATCATTCTTACTTCCTTTTCCCCTCCCCACTTTTCAAATCCCCCTTTCCATCTCCATAAAGATAGACAAGAAACAGGGAGGTAGACTTTGTGGGGCCAGAATATATTTATTTATTGTTCCTTTTTTTTTTTTTTGTGTTTTTGTGGTTCTGTTTTTCTGTTTTTCTTTTTCATCTTGAGGCTTGGGATTGAACCTTTAATTTATTTATTGTTCCTTTTTTTTTTTTTTTTTTGAGACAGGGTCTCACAATGTAGGCTGGCTATGAACTTTTTATGAATACTATTCTTTTTTAAAAAAATGTATTTTCTACAGGGTCTCTCTACACAGACCAAACTCATAGTGATCCTCCTGTTTTCAGCCTCCCAAGCACTGCGAATACTGGTGCACGCCACCACTCCCAGTCTCATTTGCCATCTCAGGGCACCCTGGGGGTGGGGCCGGCACAGCACACCTGGTCCCTGAGTCTGCCTAAGCAGGGGCAGGCACTTTAATCTGCTGAGCTATTTGGTCAGCCCTGTGTACTTATTATGTAGCTTAGGCCAGCCTTGAACTCATGGTGATCCTCCTGCCTCAGCCTCCCAAGTGCTGGGGTAACCAACTGAGAGGCCTGTGAAAAAAAGAGGCACTTGGGCCCCACTCTGGAGACCCCAGTGGATATCTAAATGTGGTGAATGGGGCCTGGACAGGACAGGTCCCGCAGTTGACATGGACCCCTCTAAAACCTCATGGAATCTGTCCTGGTGGTAAGGAGAGGTCCTCAGCGAAGCGATCCCCTCTGGTCTGTCTATGGGCAGCTGAACCTGAGGTAAGCACAGCCGAGAAAACAATGACCTTCCTTGTTGAGACTCACAGAGTTGAAGAAGGTCAGATGTCCTCCCCTGGTCCACCCAACATAGAAGGCAATCTCAGTCTGGGAAGGCCATCAGCTGCCAAAACAAACCACTCCCTAATCAGCTTCCTGGAAAGACCACTTTGGACAAGAGTCCTCCATCTTTCCACACAATCTGCTTTGCAAATAAAATTGCCTTCCTCACCTAGACACCTGCCTCACTGGCCTGTGGAGCAGCAGGACTTGTGTCGGCAACACATGTTCAGCAGCTGCCTCGGGTGACTTTGGTCCAGCTGGGGATGGCAGCTGTGTTGGACCAGCACATCTGGCACCACTTGGACTTCTAAGTGTACTGCTGCTTGGTTTGTCAGGAACTCCTGACCACAATGACCGCAGATGAGCTAGAAGGCAGTCGTCACTGTGCCCAGAGCTGGCTTGGGACTTTAGGCTCTGGGGCTCCACTTGCTGAGTCTGCAAACCAGGTCCCCAGGTCTGTGGGACAATTCATAGAGAAGACGCAAGATGTCAGGAGGCATGCATAGGCCTTAGATGTTTGCAAATTACAAACTCTTTGAGGGGGACAGCTAAGCAGGAGAAAGGAGATGCGATGTGTTAGCAGGAAAACAGGGCAGTGCAGGACACAGCAGAGATGATGCTCCAGTTTTCTAATAAAGCCTGGTTAAAACTACAATGGGACAGGCTGGAGAGA